CAAATTAGTTTTCCAGAAGTAGTGTTGGAAATAACCCCTCGAGTAACACAGAAGGGGTGGCAGGGGCCGAGTGAGAGAGATAGCAAGAGGGAGACTCTGATAAGACCTAGGGAAAGAGGACAACTCAATAATATGACAGACTCTGATCAAAATTCCCAGCAAAAGGGTGAAAGTGGGTGAGGGGATGAGAAATCCAGCGTAAGGTGGAGAGTTCTCATGTAAGCCGCTCAAAAAGGGCACACCATACCACATTTAAATAAGCAAGTAAAAATTGTGATAGTGAAGGCGTGACACGAGGTGATTAGCCCAGAGGGAAGGAAGGATACCACGATTGTTTAGCGGACAATTAACCAAAGAATCGGCTTCCCTTGTCTCTTTGAAGAGTTGTAGTGTAATGCTAAGGATATCAAGACTCGCCGACAATGCCGGCAAAACGTCTGGGAATGTACCACGTCCACGGTCCTACTCTGGAAATGATTATGCATACAATGGACTCCAAACTAGGTGCTTTTCGCTAATTCTTTCTACCAATATGAGCAAGTTGCGAAAACAAGGTCAAACAACTTCTGATTACAGTAAAGCCTAACTTAAGTTCCGGGTCATTAAGGCTTAATGATCAAAGAAAAAGCATGACTGTGATTGCGTAGCCTCATAAAGCTGGTCGGATTCCTAAACCTAACAGAACCGTTGAACGAATCAGAAGTTGATTAGTAGCAGCATAAACCTGACCAGTTAAAGCGCCTTCTTTTGATAGGTGAATAAGGCTATTAAAGAGAAGTAAATCTTATCAATGCTTGCCTTCAGAGTATTCACTAATATATTTGTTTTAATAATGCATTTAGCAGAATACGAAACAGAACAAGCAAAACGATGTGTTTAAGACCATTCTATCACGTGTCCAGTTTCTCCTTCGTGTTCAACCAATTCTAACTGTTCAGCTGCCTTAAAAACATTTTTGTCACGAGTTAACATTCAATAAATAGACTGGCAGGTCTCGCCACCATATGGACGACCACATGAGCACATAATCTTGCAATAGCTGGATCTTGATAATAGGTCATATTACTCTCGAAAATAGAACATAATCAAGGAAAGGATAAGGGTATCTTGAAAAATGCTTTATTTTCCACTTTCTTACTAGTTTTCATCTCTTATTATAAGTAACACATACTGGCAAGGTTGGAGCAGGAGAAAAGGTCTCAGCTTGCCTATCCCTATAAAATAGTCTGTCTAAAAATGTATTCCTTATTAAAGATAGTATTTTAACTGAGCCTAAAGGAAAATTAACGCCAAAGAATAAGTATTTTAGCAACCGTAGACAAGCTGAAATTAAATATATGAGGACCAAGATGTTGTGGCCTCTGGAATTACACTTCGTTTACTACGAACCTCTATATCATATATTTTTAAAAGAAATTAAAATAACCACAATAATCTAAAGAGATTAATCGAAATAGAGTTCATCTTCACTTCATCATCTCGTAAACTCAAGTGATTAATGAGAAGCCGGAAAAATCGGAAGCAGTTAAGCTTAAGTTATTGTTGACCAACTATTTCAGAGGGCTATGGGTAGGAGAGATATAGAAAAAAAACATACAATTAAACACAGTAATGGTATATTGATGGTTCTCTGAATAAGTCAAAAATTTCAATATTCTGCACAATCAAAGGACGCCACACTAAAGCCTGGCCTGTTTAAAAATCCCTACCAAAGTATGCATGAAGGCCTGTAAGTGATGAGTGTGGCGCATAAGATTACAGTCAGAAGGGTTGCAAAAAACGAAATTTTGAGCCTACCAGGTTCTAAAGTCATTCTAGGCAATACAACATTTTTACCCTGTACGGCTGCTGAGAATTTAATGAAATAGCTAGAGGACAAAAGTCTTAGTTAATATATGAGGGATCAACAAAGTATAGTAAAATAATAATATTGAACTTCAATGATTGCCTTACGGAATCGTTTACTGAAAATGCAGAGGAGTCAGAGCAATTCGAAAAGAAGATAATTATTAATGCGTAAGTATTAGCAACAAGAATATTGTTAAGGCTACTTGAGTAGCAGAGTGAAATAAGCCAAATAACTTATAAATACGGAAAGAATTAGAACATGGTGTGTTGAGGTAAATAGTTTGGTAAATCCAGCAATTAGTATTCAAAAAAAGATCAGACTGGGAGAATTACCATGCATTTTTAGCAAAGGACTAGTGCTAACAGCTGGTTAATTCACGAATCTGTTCCAACCAATTTCTCCTTCGAAATGAAAAGTCGAATTACAATAGTAGGAAAAAGGATTCAGCTATCTTAAAATAGCAGCATAATCATAGAATTAATGGCCACACCAATAATGCGAAAAACGGGAATAACATATACAGGCAGTCGAAAAGATGCTTACCATGAATTTCATGTTTCCGGTACCAGATGCCTCTGTGCCAGCAGTGGAGATCTGCTCTGAAAGATCAGAGGCTGGAAAGATTTTCTCTGCTAATGAGACACGATAATTTTCGAGAAAGATAAGCTATGTAAACAAGAGATAAAGAAATAAGTGTCAATCAAGCAGACATTTAAGACAGTTTTACTAGCAAAATATTCAGATGAGTGGATATAGGAAGCAAGGAATGAATAAATATGTTTCCTTAAAAGTGCTACAATCAAGCAAAGTACTCAAATATGTATAGAGAATATTATATATATATATATATATATATATATATATACCGAGCATGACTTACCGGAATTACGTACCCAGGGGACTAAGCAAATCGAGTCATCACATCGACCCTCTCCATTGAACCAATCAGAAAGAGACATCAAAAGTACGCAAGAGTATTTAAAGTCAGAATCTCCATAGACTGGGCCCCCTTGCCCCGTCGCTACCCTGATGCCTTCGTTACCCTCTGTGACCGAACATTGCCCTCTTTCACTAACGCCACACTCCGCCATCGTCTGTGTTTTTCCCACATTGAAAACCTCACCTGTAACTTTCCTTCTTCTATACAAGGAACTTCGTTACTCGTTTTCTTGTTTCTCTATACAGAGCTGGGGTATCCTATGCGGTAGGGTGAAGCCAAACAGATATTTATGGTGAATATTTTAGATTCACTAAACTAGTTTGGTGCTTAACCATATGCAAAAAAATTAAACTTCCTACGACGCCGTCCCTAGAGGTAAAATGTACAAAGTCTGAAAAAAGTTCAGTAAAAAGGGCATGCTCATAGCCTAGCTTTAATCCCGGTCTGCGGAAAATTCTTTCTCACTGAGACTATCTTTTCATAAATCACTATTTATTACTGGAATATTTTTAAATTCTATCATAACATATATCAAAGCAAAAAAACGTCCATATATCGGCTGATCGGACATTATTACCATTAAAAAGAGTAAAAAAAGGGAAAATTTTGGCTGGATGAAGTCGGAGCACTCTATATGGCCATTTCCTTCTCATCTTTGCCCTTCTGCCAACACTCCCAATAGTCCAAAAGCTTCGATTTCCTTCCAAACAAATATAAGATCTCGGAGAAATTTTTTAATTAATTCAGTGAGTCTTTATTCTGATATCGATTCAAATAATCTTTCAATGGAGCTAGTGATGTGGAATCATATTTGATAGGGAGAGGAGCTTTGAAGAGAGGGATTTTACCTATGGCTTTAAATGCAAGCTAGCCAAGCGAAGTATATCGGTTTCTGTCTACATTTCTACATCTCGCGGACCCATAGGAAGACGGCAAAGTTGTTAGGGGGGACATTAGATGCCTAAGTCTAGTTAAAATTCATGTAGTTTCAAATAAATTGAATAATTCCGATTATATGGAGAATGAATAAAATGATAAAAAAGTTTAGGCCAGAAAGGTAATGCTAACCTTAATTCGGCCCTGGACAACGGGATCGTTGTTGATAACCCTGCCAACGTTGTTAATAAGTTTGATAATAAGTTTGGCCATGTGGTAACCAGGTGCGGCCTTGCCACCGATCATTACAGTTCGTGGACAAACCTGGTAGCTAGGGTTCGCCTTAATCCGGTTGTATAGTGTGATTACATGGAAGCAATTGAGAAGCTGACGCTTATACTCATGAATTCTTTTCACCTTTGGAAGCAAACATAGATGGAAATACGGAATGACAACATGAAATCAAACTGAAATTATTAATTTATCATGACATGGTAAAATAAAAATGATGGAAAGTTAATATATCTCCTAACCAAAAAATCTTCGATGACAATTCCCTTTAAAATTTTGAGACAGAGAGCATTGGATGGATAAGAAGATAAAATAATTCATTTAGATTGACTTGCTATAATTTGCAGACAGAAACTGAAATATAAGATGCTGAGGAATTTTTCAATGTAGTGACTTCAAGCTAATTCTTATCACTAAAATTGTTGGTTTCGATACATTGAGTTGCATATTCAGTACAAAACTACAACTTCTAAATTCCCAGTAGCATGAGCATCAAGATAATCAATGTGTTATTTGACCATAAATAGGTTAACGGATACGTTCTATTTACCTGA